TTTATGTATATATTAATTATTAAAACTTGAGAGTTAAACATGGAAAACGATATCGACCACATGACCGTTTCTATTCGCAACATAAATTTGAGCTCTTTAGGGTGAATTTTGCGTGACATTTCTGAAGATGTTTGCAGTAATCTTGTTAATATCTTGGTGAATATTCTCTTTAAGTTACCGAACTGTGATTGATTTATTAGCGTAGACCTTGCTCTTTAAGAAATTCCAAAGAAAGAAATCTGGGTCTGTTAGTTCTAGCGATCTGAGCGACCAATCGATGCTACCATTTTTGGAATTCAAACGGAGTGGAAATATATCTTTCACATGTACTATTGGAACCACATGTTTTCCAGATCTTATTAGTCCACTTCGCGTGATGAGAAATTTCGCAACGTATGTCGTAAAAATGTTGCGTAAAACAATGCTCGAAAGACTCAATTCTTGAGCACGATGACGGATAGAGGTGTTCGGTTCTTATTCAACATTGTCACGCACGCTTCAAATATTTTCCGCATGCATTCGATTCGAGGACGGCCAAAATGTGTTCTAGCTGTCACAGTACCAAATTCCTAGAAATTCTCCGTCGAATGTTTGATTGTTTTATAGTCAGGCACGCGATTTCGATCAAATTTTCTTCTTAATTTTCTTATACACAATGTTAGCGAACACTGATTTGCAATACAGGTTTCTACGATAAACACACGTTCTTGAATTGTGCAGAGCTCCATAATAAATTTTCCATGTGTCTACTTCACAACTGTCAAATACCAATTGACAGTGTTGCGTCTTACAAAAATGGTAGCCATTTCAAGTATGGAACTAATTTTTGGTACAACCTATACAATGGTGATAACAATATAAATTCGTCAGAGTAAAGAGAAGAAATTGGCGATTATTTATTTACTTTCACAGATGATATTCTGTTGATTCTCAAATTAAGAAGTCTATCGCGTATTTATCAGCAGTATCCTGAACAGCTATCGCTAGAACGATTGTGTCACGTGAACGTTACGTAGAGATACGCGGATGTAATTCGCAGTATCTTAATCAAGTCTGACAAGCCGTGAGAATCTGATTCTGTATCAACACCATTCCCATCTCTTTGCATGAATGATTTGTCGTTTACGTGCGATTCACGAACGAACACTTTATTGATACGTGCTCCTACATAAGTAAAATTTACTGCAATATTTATCGAGTTTCTAACGTTTATCTTAATACATATTCTTATAACCTGTTGCAGAATGTCCTGGTAGTTCGTAAATGACATTTTAACACATTGGAAATTTCTTTCAGAGGGAAAAAAGCATTTGGAAATTATTTTATTGGCTGAAATAATAACTTCAGTTCCTACTTTACCTTTTTCAATTTAAATTTTTAAAGCCCAATGCATTCTGAACTAATAAGGAAACATCCCTAAGTGATATCACCGATATTAATGAAACTTTGTATTCCTTGATATATATTCCTTTTTATCAGCAATCGTTCACTTTGAAGAAGGGAAAATCGCCCTCACAGGGCATATTTTTTAAAACTTTTTTTTATTATTTTTCACTTTTTAAATTTATTGTTGAAAAATACAAATTTCACCAATTTTCACTATTCCTCTGTCTGTAATAATTTTTTAGATATTAGACTAAACATATTTATTACCTCCAATTTTGAAGGCGATTTTCATCCCTTCACTGAGGACGTTTGCCCACATATAAAAAACCGCGTAAAATATTTCTTTGAGAACTACTATATTTCAAAGTTGGATAAAAATTGGTGATTATCACTTTGGAATATTTTTTTGTAAGTTTAGAAGTATTAAAATCCCAGTTTCTTTTACTATGATACAAAAATCAATATTGATTAATGTGCCATTAAATGTAAAACGAGTGTATTAAAAGCTTATTGTATACCCTGAAAGGAAGTGTATAATAGGGGTATGAATAAAGAATGAATCTTATAATATGAAACCTAAAACGCACAATCTACAAATGAAAGATTTGCTGCAAGGAATAACTTGAGTAGTTTTAATTTTAGATAACAAACAAATAATTATAATGGAGCACTGAAAGTAGTGTTCTTACTCTAATTGAACTCTCCGAGGTACTAATAGAAGTTTAAATGTATCTATAACACAGTATCATTTAGCTTTCCACTTTTTAATATATACTTAAGATAGTATTACAAAAAATAATTACACACAAATTAAAATTTAGCAATGCAAGATATTAAAAAAAATGTAAGAAACACTGACTTTCAAAATGAAGCTTAAAATGGAAAAGATTTTACATTACTGTTACATATTTAACAGAATTTTTAAATTTCAAGCAAATTTATCAGTTAGAACCCACTTTAAAGAATATAAATATTCAAAATTTAGGATTCAAGATTAAAAATTTACAGTTCAGAGTTGAAAACTTGAAATTCAATATTGACGGTTAAAAATGAATGAACGTAACGTTACATTCACAAATTATACATATTACAGAGCTTCAGAATGGAAATATCTGACATCCTACGGTCTAAGTGAAACTATTCCACGCTATCTGACAAAAAAAAAAAAACGAACTAAAGCTATTACACTTTGTAGCGAGCACTGTTCGCAAATTGAAACACGGGGCGGAATTTTCCCGGCTTTTAATGGAAAAACGCGTACGAGATATATCGCGGGCCACAAATCCAGTTAAGTTAAACGAGCATCGTCTTAATGCCGTATCGCAATAATCGTGCATCGTCGACAAAGATCAAGCTTCAGCAGTTTAAACGAACGTAAAGCCACGCGAAAGACCTTTCACGTCTACTTAATTTGCGGGGTATTAACCTTATTATTATGAGGCAATATGGTCGCGAATTTGCGAGAACGCGGTATAGAGAACGTTGCACGCGAGCAATCTTTACAGCCCTTCTCGGAAATGAAACCTCGTATATGCCCTTTCACCGCTGCTTGCTTGCCTCCCTTCTCTTCCCTTTTCATTCTTTTAATTCCCTTAGCCCCCGTATCGGCACCCTTTTCCATCTGTTTCACTCTTGCCGTATAAACGCGCGGGGATGGTCCCTACAAAGTGACCAATTCGATTAGCCAAAAAATTTTATAAATTTTCGAATGGAAAAACTGACCCCACAAAGAATGCACGGTAGAGAGAAGGGTGATGCATGGCAGAAACATTTGCTTTATAATCGGAGTAGTAAACATGTTCCATGATGCACTAATTTTATGTTTCTGTTCACCGAGCGTGCACAGTTTATGATATGAATTAGGTTAACGCATAGGAAATGTCGTTCTTTGAAACGTAACTTTGAATAGGTGCATTGTGTTTCGAAGAAAAATAATGTATTTCATCAAAATAATTTCCATATTGATTCTCGACGATTTTCACGACGAATAACTTGTTTCATTGTTCAAAATTTGTAAAAAGTATTAGTTTTTGAATGGTACTTTTA